CACCCAGTTGCTATTTGGAAGACACCCAGTTGTAAGTGGACTTCCCTTTGTGTGAAACATGATTAGGATAGTTGAGCCAATAGATACTGCCAAGTAGATGGCGCAGCTTGCTGCTTTCAGGGCCAAAAATTTTATGGCGTTCTTTCACGAAACGGATTGTAAAAGTAGATGGCGCCAAACCAATCCCCGAGTAGTACTTTCCCATTCCTTGTCACGATTTTTGCCTAGGATGGCTTGCGCCGTCTGCATCTGGGTTTTTTTGTTCCAGAGGCGTTTTCCCCTACACAATACATGCCTCATTACAAAAACCTGAGCCAAGTTTTCTGACTACAGAGTCTATATATAAGAACAATTGAATTGATCTATTGCGTTGCGCATAGGCGGAATTCTGTCCTGTTTTCCAGCTTCGCGGCTGAAACGTGGAATGCTCACTGCAACTGTCTGCACCTGCTACACTCCTCTTGAAAAGGGGTCGGCGGCACCCGGGCGAAGCCCTTACAATAATTATATATATATATATATGCGTGTGTGAAGAATATGAAGGAATCCTTAAACACCTGGGCATGGGATGTACATATTCTCGAATACTTCAGTGGTCTCTCAGGTCAGTCTACCGCTTGCCATGCTGCAAAACAAGCAACCCGCTTCTGGAGGTCATCCTACGTAGACATCATCTCCATCACTATTGGTGCAATTTCTGCGACTTCCATTGAATTCCAAATAATTACCTCACGACAGCATGTGCCAACAAGAAGCACCAGGAGCTGCGACTCCGTTTTCCGGCGAAACCTACGGATGGATCAGGTCCCGGGCGTCTACCGCTTCAGCGGCTTCCACCTGCAGGTGATCCAGGTGGTCCAGGTCATTACAGTATATTAATATATCAATTCTAGGGGTGGTGAATTAATCCTACAGTAGGTGATCATTGAGTCCACGGGCTGGGACTATCAAAACTGGAGTCCTGAGACCCAAAGCAAAGCGAGGGGTTTGCCTCGTGATGTTCGATTCTGAGACCCAATTAGCTGCAGGATGCTGCAAGTGTAGGTTGATTTTCTGGCCAAGCACTTGGATCAGGCTGCAAGTCGCATGCTTGCTGCCTCAACGAACGGTGATGGTAAATTCTTCCACCTTCAGAACATCTTCACAACCTGCACCGTAGCTGGCATCGTTCGGCACCAATGATTTTATCGTCCAATATCCATAGCCACACGGGTGACATCCCATCTTTGCAATCCAACGCCCCAACCGTGTCGCAGCCAAGTCCCACCTCCTGCTGGACGGCTTCGGCCAAGTGTCGCTCCTGCGCGCGCACTTTCGCGCGCGGTCGCAGCGGGTCTGAGAGTCTGGTGCAAAACGGACCCGGAAGGAAACGACCTGCTTTTGCCTTGTGTTTGCCTTGTTTCCTTCATAAAAGTCAGCTGTTTTTTTTCCGTCTGCATTGCGAAGGAAGGAGACTGAAACGCCACCTCTGGGTGTGCATCTGGCTCAGCCTTGACACCTTCCTGAAGAATGTATCTGC